CTTTGTGGTCTCGGGTGAAAGAGTTTGGGGTGACTGCTCAAGGAGAGAAGACATCGGTGATACAAAAATTGAAAGAGTTGGAATGCCGCGACAGAGAGAAATGGAAGAAGGAGGAAGAAAAGAAACACAGAAAGGGAGACCAGGTGATGATCCACTTTCCATGATTTTATTATCTATTAATATTTGAGGATTAGGGGGGATTGGTAAAAAAAGGGAGATTCGGGATTTGGTTGCCAAACAAAAAGTGGATGTTTTGTTTATCCAAGAAACTAAAATGGAGAGAGTAGACAAATGTTTATGTAGAATGGTTTGGGATTTGGATAATTTTGAGTGGGTTGCTCAACCTGCTAATGGTGCATCAGGAGGAATTTTAATTATATGGAATTCTAATATTTTCAAGAAAATTGGTTGCTTAGAAGGTGCAGGATTCCTGGGAGTAGTGGGGTTTTGGGGAGAAGAAAACATCCCCTGTTATTTGGTAAATGTATATTCTCCATGTGATTTGGCGAGTAAGAGAATCTTATGGGAGAATTTATCAAATAAAATCTGTTCCAATAAAGGAAACTGGTGCATAGCTGGAGATTTTAATGCCATCAGAAATCTTCAAGAAAGGAAAGGAGGTATAAGTGTAAGGAGGGAGTTGAAGGAATTTAACGAGTTTATTGAGATAAGTGGGTTGGTAAACCTCCCTATGATAGGGAGAAAATTCACTTTGTACCAGCCGAATGGTAATTGCATGAGCCGCTTGGATAGATTCTTATTTTTTGAGGAATGGATGCTTAACTGGACAGATTTGAAGCAATGGGGGTTAGCGAGGTCACTGTCAGATCATTGCCCAATACTGGTGAAGGATGAAGCATGTAATTGGGGCCCAAAACCCTTCAAATTTTATAATGTGTGGTTGCAAGATCTAGCATTTAGAGAAATGATAGAGAAACAATGGGACAGCTTTAACATCCAAGGGTGGGGAGGTTTTGTGCTCAAAGAAAAGATGAAACTATTGAAAAATAGTATGAAGGTCTGGACCCGAAATCATGTACAGGTGGTTGACAAACAAATTGAGGAAGCAAAAGAGACAATAGCCAAACTTGATTGTAAAGGGGAAGTACAGCAGCTAAGTGAGGAGGAAGGCATCCTCAAGAGGGATCTAATGCTAACTCTATGGCAAAATATTCAAACAAAAGAAGAAATGGCAAGACAAAAATCAAGGATGACGTGGATGAAGGAAGGAGATGCTAATACAAGCTTCTTCCACTGGTGCATCAAAATAGATGGAGAAGGAACGAAATTAACTCCCTAGTGGTCAACGGAAAGGTGTTGTAAAAAGTCAATGAGTTGAAACAAGGAGTGGCTGACTACTTCAGGAATTTATTTGCAAAGGATGACTGGAAAAGGCCAGTCTTGGAGGGCATGGAATTTAACAAAATTTCTGAAGCAGAAAAGGAGCTTTTAATTGAACCGTTTCTTGAATCAGAGGTCAAAGCAGCTGTATGGAACTGTGACAGTGCAAAAGCCCCGGGTCCGGATGGTCTGAGCTTTGGGTTTTTGAAAACAGAATTGGAAGTGGTTAAAGATGATATATTGAAGTTTCTAGCGGACTTCCATATCAAAAGTAAGCTGGTAAGGGGTTCCAATTCATCTTTTCTGGTATTGATACCTAAAAAGGAGAACCCACAAGGATTGGAAGAGTACAGGAGTATTTCTCTAATAGGTTGCATGTACAAAATCCTGGCCAACAAATTGAGTAAAGTGTTGAATGGACTCATAGGTGAACAACAATTAGCATTCATTGGAGGGAGACAACTGGTTGATGGAGTATCGCAAATGAGACGATAGATGAAATCAGAAAGAAAAAATTGAGCTATTTCCTCTTCAAGGCCGACTTTGAGAAGGCTTACGACAATGTCAGCTGGGAATTCTTAGATTATATGTTGCATAGGATGAATTTTGGCTTGGTATAGAGGGGATGGATTCGAGAATGTCTGCAAACAAACTCGATATCTGCTTTGCTCAATGGTAGTCTAACAAAAGAGTTTACTATGCGCAGGGGGTTAAGACAAAGGGATCCCTTAGCTCTTTTCCTGTTCCTTATTGTTGCGGAAGGGCTCAATGGTATCATCTCATCAGCAGTTGAAAAAGCACTTTTTGAAGGGGTCCAAATTGGAAGAGGGGATTTGAGGATTTCCCACTTGCAGTTTGCGGATGACACCTTATTAATGGGGAAAGCAACAGAGGAAAATATATGGACCACAAAATGTATTATGCAGGCCTTCGAACTAGTCTCCGGGTTGAAAATAAACTATGGGAAAAGTTCCTTGATTGGAATCAATGTCAATGATGTATGGGAGAAGGAAATGACATGTCTATTGAATTGCAAATCAGGATCTCTGCCTTGTAAGTATTTGGGTATCCCTTTGGGAGTAGACCTTAGAAGAATAGCTACATGGAAGCCACTTATCGATACCTTGAAAAGAAAATTGTCTTCATGGAGTGGGCGATTCCTATCCCTTGGAGGAAGAATAACTCTCATTAATGCTGTGCTGACCAGCCTATCGGTGTTCATTATGTCCTTCTATCTCCTTCCAAAGAGCATCATAGGTGAGTTAGACAAAATTAGGAGAAGATTTTTATGGGGGGGTGTCGGGGAGAGGAAAAAAGTTGCGTGGGTGGCATGGGAGAATGTATGTAAACATAAGCTCGAAGGGGGTTTGGGTATAAAAAATCTGTCATGTTTTAATATGTCATTATTAGGAAAATGGTGGGGAAGACTGCTCACAGAGAAAGGGGGTTTATGGAGAAGAGTCTTATTTGAAAAATACGGGAATAAAGAAGGGAATTGGCTATCCTATCTAAAGGAGGGTAGAGGTCGAGGTTCAAGTTGGTGGAGGGGCGTTTGCAAAATAGATGAAGGGGTGGGGGCTAAGAATAATTGGTTGAGCTCAAGATTTGAAGTGAAAATAGGGGATGGTAGATACACAAAATTCTAGTCGGATGAATGGGTAGGAGGGAGTGCATTAGCTAACAAATTTCCACGCTTGTTTATGTTATCCACAGGTGAAAATCACAACGTGAAAGACATGGGAAATTGGATAAATAGAAGCTGGCAATAGAATTTATTATGGAAGCGCCAATTGCGTACGTGGGAGGAAGACTTGGAAACAGATCTTCTCGAGATGCTCAGGACAACTCACCCAATTCAGGACAAAGAAGACCAATGGTGGTGGCAATCGAATCCCTCTGGAAACTACACATCTAAGTCGGCTTATTCCCATCTTTTAAAAGGCGACACCAGGACTATGTTTGACTTCAAAAGGTTGTAGAAGGCCTCCATTCCATCTAAAGTAAGTGCTTTTTTGTTGGCAGTTACTTCACAAGAAACTCCCTACAAAAGATAATTTAGCAACTTACGGAATCTTGACTGATCATAACAACCTAAGATGCTGCTGGTGTAATTCATCAACTGAAACACCCGACCACTTGCTTGTTAACTGTAATCTGGCTTCTAGCTTATGGATGAAATGCTACAAGTGGTGGGGCAAGAAATATGTGTTAGGAAATTCATGTATGATGGTTTTGGAACAACACAAGTGGATTGGGGGCCCAAAATCACTAGATAAAGAATGGAACTTCATTTGGTTTGCAGTAGTATGGACACTATGGTTGGGCAGGAATGACAGGATTTTCAAAGCCAAGGAAGCAAAGGCTTACTACTTTTTTCAGCTAGTTCAAACTCGATCTTTTTACTGGGCAAAAAATATCGCAGGTCTGGATGGATTCTCCTTAACAAACTGGTGCAAGAATCCAATTAAATGTTTAAAGACCAAAGCCAAAGAGAAAGACAGAGTATGAACTGGACTGTCACGTTTGTGACGTCTTTGTACAGAAGCCGGTGAAAAAGAAACTTTGTAATCGGCTGTTTTTGTAAGTAAAGGGTTGGAATACCCCCTATATTCCAAAATTAATAAATACTTTTGCCTTTCAAAAAAAAAAAAAGAATATTGACACAAACATTTATTCAAAGTGGAGCATAACTAAGGCTATTTCCTGAAAATAATAGAAGTAATTCTATGATAGAAAACTAAAGAAATTAATAGATCTGAAGTTAGGATGGAAAAATCATGAAAGGAAGGTGTAGGAAACTCAAAGAGGAATTTAGTCGAACTGTTTATGTGCAAAACAGAGATGTCAACTAAGGCAATCAGAATTCGTCCGATCCCTTCAATAGTATCATATAACACAACAACTTCTACAATACAAGGATTTCTGACACCAGATCTAACAGATCAAATCAAACTAAAAAAACTTAAAGAGGATGAAGCAGAAAACTCAAGCCTGAGCTCATGATGCAGGGCAACGGAGTGTCGTATGCAGCGTATATATTTGCAAATAGAAAGGTAAAGGAAGGTAGTGTCAGGCTATACTGTTTTATTAAAAAAACTGTTTTTTGAGGTCCGAACAGTAAATTTACTGAATTATCTTTAATAAAGCTTTTCTTTGTATTATTTTATGAAAAAAAAATATTTTGCAATGTAAACTGTTGGCGATAATTAAGCACTGGACCTTGATAAGAGAGAGTTTATTCATATTGGCAGCTCTTTCTTTTAATAAAATTTTTTATTTTACAGTTTAAAATAATTTAAGTAATAAAATAATATATTTCATTTTATTAATAATATTTTATAATTTTTAATATTTAAAGGATATTTTAAAAAATTTATTTATACATAAATTTTAGATATTATATTTACATATAATTATAATTATTT